GAGGGGGCTCAGGCAGAATGAAAAGGGCACTGGCTGAACTCACCCGGTGGGCGCCCACTGCAATACAGCATCGCTTGCTGGAGCCTGGAAGAGAGTTCCTCCAAGAGCATGCTTACCTCTGACAGAAGTCTAGCTCCTCTTGGTTAACAGAGCGTGGCTCAGGCCAGAGTAGCTTTATTGACAAGATGCAAAGTGAAGAAGAGAGAGAAGTCACGGATGACTCCCAAGTGAGAGGGGGAGGCCGGTGGGTGATGCAGTGCACTGGCAAGAGGAAGATGAGTGCAATTTGAAGCAGTTTGTACTTGAAATGTCCATTAGATCCTCAGATATCTGGGTCAGGATTTGAGCCGAGCGGTCCGGCGTGGAGGGAGCGATTTGGGAGTCGTTGACATGTACCCTGTAATGAAGCTACAGGAGTGAATAAGATTGTGTGGAGAGTCAAGAGAAGTGGGAGCAAATGGAATTCAGGAGAGATCTGGAAGCAAACGCCACCCCCCCCCCCCCCGCCCCCCGCAGATTTGAACAATTGTGTGTGTTTGCCTAGAATAACGAAAATGGACTGGTGACTGTCTGTGTCAGGGTCCTGCTTGATGTCTGTTTGGAACGAGAAATTCAGAGTAGTCTTTGGATCTGTAGAAATAAATTCTTTAAATTATCCTGAAGTAGCATTTTTGGAGGCAGTGGTCCATTTCACAGATGCTCCAACTTTTGCCCACCAGGCTCCTCTGTCCATGGGATTCTCCAGGCAAGAATACCAGAGTGGGTTGCCATGCCCTCCTCCAGGGGATCTTCCTGACCCAGGGATCGAACTCAGGTCTCCTGCATTGCAGGCAGATTCTTTCCTATATGAGCTGCAGGGAAGTTCTAGCTTTTGAAGTAGATGCCAAAACATACGTGAGGACAGAGAGCCTGGGGTCTGCGGGACAGGAAACAAGCATCTGCTGGTTTATTGAGCAGCGGGAGCAGGAAGAGCCGAGGGACAAGAGGGCAGCAGAAACCAAGAATAAAACCTGGTCACAAGGCCATATCAGCCCCGCTTGGCAGACAGGCTCAGTGGCTTTGGTAATTACCCTGGTGCCTGCTGTGTGCGCGCCTTTTCCACTGAGTTTTAAAAAGCCTTTCCTCTAACTACCGGGTCTCTCAGAACTGGGGCCACATTTGCCCTTGGTGGTTTTCTCCTGTGGAATCTTTGCTGTGTCTGTGCTCCGCGCTGTGTCTGCTGACTCCACGAGAACCCTCCTGGCCCTGCTCTCTGACACTGCTCCTGCCCGCCCCGCTCCTGCCTGAGCTCATAGACGCTTTGTGAGGACATGCCCTTCTGGAAGAGCCCGGCAGAAACCACAGGCCTGCATGGCCAGACCGGCACACGTGGACTTGACCAGAGCCTCATCTTTCCTTTTGCTCACTCCCTTCCCCACCCCCACCCCCCAGCCTTTTTTCTCTTGGTACTTTTGGCATAAATACTGTGTGTCTTAGTCCCTCAGTCATGTCTGATTCGTTGGGACCCCATGGACTGTATCCCACCACACACCTCTGTCCATGGAATTCTCCAGGCAAGAATATTGGAATGGGCAGCCATTCCCTTCTCCAGGGGATCTTCACAAGCCAGGGATCTAACCTGGATCTCCTGCATTGCAGGCAGATTCTTTACCATCTGAGCCACCAGGGAAGTCCCATAAACATTATGTAACTGTCTAAAATCAATAGAACTTTCAAAACAAGGTTTAAAACTAATGGTGAAGCTTCATTAACAGTGGAGCTTCCTCTGGATTAAAAATGTTACTTTGAATAGAAATGCCTTTTTACACCTGCATTTGCATGAATTCTGTTTTTGGTATTCTAATTCTGGATATGATATAGGAAGAAAGTGTACTCAAACTTTAGGGAAATGAATCTCCAAAAGATTTCTGTATTTTCTGTATACCTCCACAGTTTCTATATAGTCCCATAAGAAATATCCGAAAGACTGATTTTCAGCCATAGCTGGGGTTTTGCTTAGGATGCTTTCCCAGAACAGATAATCATAAGCACTAGTTAATAATGCATTTTGTCCTTCCATTAGTTTATTATCCTTTAGAAGGGGACACAGGTTACATTGAGACTAGGGTCTCTTAAGTATTTACAGTTGGAAATACTCTGGGCATCTGTTGAAATTTTGTCTTAAAACTCCATTCTGTTCATACATTTTCATTTTGCCCCAGTCAGTATCTTTTAAAAAATAAGACATTCAGCCATAGTTTTCTGTGTATAAATAATAGATAATGATCAGAGTTAAGTTTAACCTTTTTCCCTGCCTATTATGTGCTGGGTATTCTGCTACGTTTTGGAACTCAAAGATGAGTAAGAAATGGTTTCTGCCCTCAAGGAGCTTGGGGTCCAGTGATGGTGGATGTGAACATAAACAGTTGCTTGTAGCACAGTTTGAAAAGGGCTGTGGGTGTTCAATCCATTCTTGAGGGGCCGGAATCAGGGTGAATTTTTGGAAAAGGCTCTAGCTGGATTGTAAAAAATGAGGTAAAGTTAATCTAGGAAGAGTGGTGTGTTTCCTAGCCAGGAGTGATCTGAGTTTTAAACATCCTGGGATAGGCAGGTAACTTCAGTACTTTAGCACTGGCCAGTAAATGAGATTTACAGAAGACTTTACGAGTACCTTAGGTTTTAGGGCTTTATTTATTGTATAAAGTAATGTTAATGTAATACCTCTGAAGAGTATACTAGTTTGTCATTGCAGTATAATCTTACCTTGGACAAGCTTTAATTGAAATAAATATGTATTTATCTGAAGGCAGCCATTATGTAGCATCATTAATAATTCAGAAGAGTTTTCAATTAAGCATTAACAACATCATTGCCTTTAGCTGTGATCTGACTGCTTGAGCTCAGAATATTGAATTATTTTTCTCAATGAAGATAAAATTAAGCCTTAGGTAACCAGAACTCAAAAATTCTATTTCTTTAATCAACATATGCTCTCTTTGAGCATCTCTCTTAGGAGAGATAGTCATGATAGTAAACCATGGCAAGGATTTTAACTTTTTAGGGTCCTTCCCCAGGTATATTCTGGAATCTGTGTACATTTGACCCAGTCTTCTATAAAAGCATCGTCATAATTCACTGCATTAAAAATTCTAATTCAAAAACACAGTCTTGCACTACTTGAAAATTCTTTATCATCAAAGATTATTTTCATTACATGAAAAAGTGAACTTAATTTATGCCTAAAAATCTCAGTGATAAGTACAGGAAAGGCTTCCTTTTATTGGGCGAGATTTAATTCCATCATATGTACTGCTCCTGCCAACTTTTTTTTCTCCAATCAGATGGCTTGAACCATGAACAGCTTTCTGGTTAATCTTCAGTAAATCAGAAATGCAGTTTATTAAAACACCTCATTTAACCTCTGGGAACCTGATAACACACTGAGTGCATATACTTTTGGCCAGAAGAATCTTTTAGTGACTGTGGATATAAGAATGAGTCTTTTCATTTCCTGGAGCAATAGTTGATGCTTGTACATTGCAAATATACATAGTGAATTTTCAGATTCCAGAGGTGTTGAAGGTATTTGTATTACTCAACAAGCCTCTCTGTGTGTGTATGTGTGGGGGTGTGTGTAAAACAAATGTGGTATTACCTTGATATTTTATGCATTTATATTTTTTTGCTATTGAAATGCATTTCCTTTCAGCATACTTCCAAGCAGACCGGTATCAAACTCAATACTTCACACTCACCCCTGTGTGTGTTTTTTTTTTTTTTTTTTAATAAAAAGGCACTTTCCCACCTCAGACACTAATTATTAGAGTTGCATGATTTGCCAGGCAAACACGACTCAGTCGTGGTATTTGAGCAACAAATCAATGAACAAATATTGATGCAACACACATGCCACATGAGCGTGACACCATCTGGGGTTCTGTACATGATTTATACAGGAAGACAGAGCATCTCTGCCTTTAAGTGGCTCAAAATGTAATTAATAGGAGACAGGGGAGAAAAAGCAGAAAAACATAACCAAAGCTCTTCAACCAGTTTTCACAGTGGCTAGTGTAGGCATATTGCCGTTCATTCATTATTTGCCGAGTGCTTTGCTACTTGTCAAGTCTGTTGAGGGCTGGGGATAAATAGGGAATGGGATATAGTCCTGATATTCTAGGAGCTTACAGTTGAGATTTACTATGTTTGACCCATATATATGGGCTCAGTGTTAAAAGAATCCGCCTGCCAATGTGGGAGACACAGGAGATGCGAGTTTGATCCCTGGTTTGTGAAGATCTCCTGGAGAATGAAATGGCAACCCACTCTAATATTCTTGCCTGGAAAAGTCCATGACCAGAGGAGCATGGTGGCTATAGTCTATGGGGTTGCAGAGTCAGACACAATTTAGCAACTGAGCATGTATGCACCATATATATATATACTCAGTAAGTTGAAAACATCTTCTGTGATCTAGAAATGAGTGAGATAACAATATAGCTTACTTATTAGTAAATTCTGGAAGGTTTAATATCTGACTATGGACTTCCCGGGTGGCATTAGTGGAAAAGAACCTATCTGCCAATGCAGGAGACAAGAGACAACAGGTTCAATCCCGTGTTGAGGAAGATTCCCCTGAGGAGGGCACAGCAACCCACTCCAGTATTCTGGCCTGGAGAATCCCATGGACAGAGGAGCCTGGTGGGCACTGGTTTGCAAAGAGTTGGACATGACTGAAGCAACTTAGCACGCACACAGTGGTAATTCCAGGCCTCTAAATTTCACTTGCAATCAGGTTTGGCCTTCACAGTGGTAAAGAATGATGTAGAAACAGGCCAAATTCATCATGTTTCTTTTTATTTCAGTGAGTAAAATTTCAAGCCATCAAGAAGAAATACGGTTGTCTCTCCAATGTTCCAACAGGAGCCATTCCAACATCACTTCAAAGTAAGCTCAATGAAAACTGGTCTTTTCCTATATTTGGTTCACTGCTGGAACCCAGCATATATGGAAGAACCTCATCAATGACAAATACTCAATGGATTTTCCTTAAATTACTGAGACTCTGGAAGGCTGGTTGTGTTGGAGGTACTCTGCAAGGCATTGGAAATATTGGGGAAAATAAATCCAGGGTCCACAACCTCATCATCTACCAGGTAAGAAAAAAAATAAACAGAAAATCACAATTTATAACCTGTGCTCTGAGAGAGGAGCTGGGGAAGGCTTCATGGAGGTGGTGATGATAATTATATTCCATATAGTGTGTATAAGAGTTGGGGGCCAGCGGGCATGCTCAGCTCCCTATGTAGGTAATCACGGGGTTCCTTGTCTACAGAGAATTCTAAATAGCAAAACTGAGTAAAAGTTGGTGTGTTGTTTTATTACTCAGTAGTTAGCCATCCTAAAGTAAGACACTGATTAAAAATACTCTTTCTCCAGAGCTACCATAGGCCAGCTCCCCACACATCTCACTCTCCTTTTACTATGCTTTCGTTTCTCTGGGTGGATATTTGAGATATTTGAGCTTCAGACACCATTGTTTCTGAGAGTAGAGCCTTTGGGCTTGGTAATGATTGCCTTACATGTGTTCTCTTAAAAAAGAATGTTGAAAAAAGCTTTAACTCTGAATACACACATATTTCAAGACAACTCTGGTAGGAGAATGTTTTCTGTAAAACTCAGAAGTCTAGAAAGGCCTTTCTTTCCCCATCTTTCAAAGCATTGTGATCTCTTTTAAAAAAAATCTGCTCAATCTTTTAATCGATACTTTCATGGGTCAACTTCATGTCCTGTCACATTTACCAAAGAATGACTTTTCATATGTTGAAATGTAGAATTCAAAAATTTTCAATAAAAACAACCATTTTTATCTTGAATATCCTATTGTAATATACTTAATGGTTTTGGTTATATGTTAGGCATTTTTTTCTAGACTTAAATTAATCCTTTTGTACCAGACAACTGCCTTCCAAGATTTACAATTTAGTGGTCATCATTTGCTGTTGAATTTTTATCTTAATATTTCCCTATTTTGGATGTTGTCCATATGACAGACTAATACCAATGAGTTGTTGTTATTTAGTTGCTAAGTCATGTCTGACTCTTTCCAACCCCATGGACTGCAGCCTGCCAGGCCCCTCTGTCCACGGGAATTCCCAGGCAAGAATACTGGAGTGGGTTACCAACTCCTTCTCCAGGGGATTCCCCTGACCCAAGGATTGAACCTGTGTCTCCTGCATTGGCAAGTGGATTCTTTACCTCTGAGCCACTACCTCCACAGTTATTCAGGTGTGTGAAATTAGGTGAGACATCTTTCTCCATATGTGTGTGTATGTGTGTGTAGACACACACATATCAATTCAAGAATGCTCTGAATTCCCTGGGATGGATTTTCATCTCTTGAGGCAGTCACTTTTCAAATGGTACCTAATGCCGTATGGATACCCACCAAAGTAGCTTATTTACCTGGCAGCATCTACACCATTGATTTTTGTAGAGTAAATCGTAACAGCCTATTAACATTCCATTATGCTGAGCATAGGACTAATAGGAAAACATCTCTGAGGTCAGCTCATAAGTAGACTTTAGAATGTACCATTCAAAAAAGGATGAAATGGAAACCATTTATGGAGGCTGGTGGGTAAAACAAAGACTTTAAGGAAGGGTAACAAAGAACAAAACTCTGCCATTGTGTAATTTCCTGTTGGATATTATGGCGAATTTTGTCTGTACATCACCTTATTTACTCTTCACTTAAACTGAACTGACTTGGATGTCCACACGTGTTTTTATTATTATTCTTACTGGAATATAATTTCTTTACATTGTGTTACTTTCTGATGTACAACAAAGTGAATCAGCTGTATGTATTCCTGCCCCCACCATCCCGCCCCTCTAGGTCATCAAGAGCACCGATCAGAGCTCCCTGTGCTATATAGCAGCTTCCCACTAGCTATTTTACACACAGTAATGTGTATATGTCAATGCTGCACACACCTTTTGAGCTTCCTTTAATTTTCTTATTAGAGGTTCAAATGTTTTACTCAATTAATTGGATTAGGAAATGCAGGGAAATCACTTAAATGTCCTGATCTCATTTAATGCTGTTACGGTGGGGTGAGACCTTCTCCAATGGCAAGTGGGACAACCAGCAGTTGGACACGGCAGCATCCAGCGGAAGTTCCTACACAATAGCTCGGGATGCTCCAAGACATACACGGCAGGGCTGAGAACCACCCAGTAAGGACAACGAGGATATCCTGCCTCTGCGTTAGCTGTAGTCTGGAGCCCACGTTGCACCCTTATCTGTCCTTGGAATGAAGGGGACAGTTGAGTAGTTCGGGAACTTGTCTCAATAAAAAGTGACATTGTGTGCTAGGAAAGCAGACTTGAAGGAGAGAATTTAGTTATAGTAAAATTCTATGGTACAAGTCTCTGTTAAGGTTTATGATGTGTCAGATAGTGTGCCAGACATTCGGAGGCATGAGGTAGGTGATGTACAATCCTCATCTTCAAGAGATAGCTCCAGAAGACTCACATCCTGGAGCCCATAGAACCTATGACACAAGTCTCAAGGGGGAACCCTGTGGATGCGTTAAATCAGTTTAGAGTAAATCTTAACTACTCATTTTGTCACCCATTAGCCATTGTTTGATGGAAACTGGGAAAGAAAATCTATTAAGAACATGATAAGGAAGGACTGGTCAGACGAAGAGGTGGATGACCAGATGATGGTGTCTAGAAACCTGAGGGAAGAGGGAATTTCCAATAGGAAGAGGGTGGGGCAGACACAGCCCTTTGTACTTAGAACCTAAGTGAGATAAGCTTCCAAAGCCGAGTGGCTGAGATACGCAGGCCGTAGGTGACCTTTGGGAGAGCTGTGGGGTGGGTATGGTGTAGGGGAAGCCTGCTCGCAGAAGGTCAATGAGAGAAGTTAGGAGAGGCTGCGGCTTTTAAGATTCTTTTGAAAGAGGAGGAGGGTGTGTTAAGAGGTAAAGGAGGTGCCACATGAATTAGATGCTATCAATGCCATAGTTTGTTGTTAGGATCTTGGACAAGTTTATTTAATCACTTTGGGCCTTAATTTCCTTGTCTGTAAAAGGAGAAACTGATACTAGTAGCTACTACTTTAAGGAATCAAATGAGTTAGCACCATTATACTAAGTAAATTCCTATTAGATCAGTATCTTAAGAGAGATACAGTGAAAATGCAATAGTAATTTAGAAGAGAGAGCAGTTACTTCCAGATTATGGGCTAGATATGTTTCTTTTTATTTTCAGTCATAGCAAACACATAAAATTTATTGTGTTAACCATTTCTGAGTATACAGTTCAAAAACGTTAGGTATGTTGCATTGTTGTGCAGCCAACTTCCAGAACTTTGTCAGCTTGCAAAACTGAAGGCCTTGGTCGCGTTCTCAGAGGAAACGGGGCTCACTGCTTCGTGAGACTTGGAAACTTCTCTTGCGAGAGCTTGCCTGACCACTGGACACAGAAGATAGACTTCATGTAATGACTTACACTTCTCATTCGACATTGGGCAGGAGTCTGCTGACCTGTTGCCTAGGCTTTTGTAATTCTAATATCCAGAGGTCATGCACTATTTGGACTTGCGCTGTGATCGAGGTCTGGTTGAAAGGATGCTCAGCTGAATCTTTCTATACTTCTGATTCATTATCATCCCACTCAAAAAGTGAACGTTTTAATGTTTTGGTAAGGTTTGAAATGTTGGTCTGCAACTTAAATAGAAGTGATTTTTCCACAGTGATAATGTTGAGAAACAACTGGTCCTGGGGATAAAACCTAGACTTAATATCAGTGTGTGTGTGTTAGTCGCTCAGTCGTGTCTGACTCTTTGCGACCCCACCAACTGTAGCCCACGAGGCTTCTTGTCCATGGAATTCTCCAGGCAAGAATACTGGAGTGGATTGCCATTCCCTTCTCCAGAGGATCTTCCCAACCCAGGGATCGAACCCTGGTTTCCTGCATTGCAGGCAGATTCTTTACCGATTGAGTTAACATCAATAGACTAGGCTTTCTGTCCCGCCACACCCTTGCACCATGTCTGTGTTCTCTGAGTAAAGAAATCAACAAGTTTTCTTCAGTATAAATCTTTTTGGTAGCTAGACTTTTAAAAAGATGGTGCCTCCTTTTACTTAGGTAGAAGGTTTTAATTCTTACTCCTGAAATTTTATGAAAGAACTGGAGAAAAGAGTGAGAGAACAGAGAAAGTAACAGTGGTTGTGGACAAAGGATGGCAGGTGCCCAGGGCAGTGGGGAGAGAGGAAGGCAGGGTTCCAAGCAAAACAGAAGAGCAAGACTTTGGTCTCTCCTCTCCAATGAGTACATGTTGGTTTTACCTAACCAATGATGCTGCTGATGAGAAAATAAATCTTGAGATACCATCTGCTACAGAAAGCCAAGTCTTGACGTTTTTCACTTTGTAGTGGATTAAAATTGCGTCTGTTCTGATAGGCGTTTCTGGGCCTTTCTTTTCCTGTTTCCTGAACCCTCCTGCTTCCGAGACCCAGTCCGCCCTAATGACAAGATTTTTTCTGCAGCAGTAAAACTTTTCCTGCATTTCCTGCTCGTACTATGGTTTCACTGTTCAGCTGATTATGTTCTTTGGCTCTTGGTCACTAGATCACTCTGAGGCAAATTTATGCTGAGGAGTTACTACTTATTTTATCAAGGGGATTGGATACCTAAGACACTTAAGTCATGGTAGGGATTTTGGTATTCTGATAAGCAGCCCAAGAAGGGAGAGTTTTGGAAGAGCAGGGCCTCTTGGCACTTCCGAAGTTCTGTGTGTATCTGCTTGGTGAGCCAAACGTGCGCCTCTGCACATACTGAAATGCATTCAGTGTTGTGCAAATAGTTTTTTTTAGTGTAGTTTCCTATTATTCAGTGTTAGAGATTTTTATGAAATACTGGCTCTAGAAAAAACCAACATTCGTCTCATCTAAAAAATTTTTTTTCATGTGAGTCAATAGATGTATGATTTGTCTCTTTCTTGGGGTAAGAGAAGGTGAAGAAACAAAACAACCCCCGCCCCGCACCCCCCCCCACCCCCCCCCCACCCCCCCGCCGCCAAAGATGTGCTTCTTACTAGCAAGCAAGGCTTAGCCCAGTGACTTGCAGGGATGAGTGAGACTGG